TGGATTCGATTGAGCAGTCACCAAAAAGAGCTCACGCTGTTTTTCTTCCCTGACAATGTCGAATCAGCCTGGTACTCGGCGTTGTGCCAATGGAGCTCATTTGAGTTATTACGACTGAATTCGACTGCTGCAGTGGCCTCCTGGCGCGCGCGACAAAACAGCGCTGTTTTTGTGTGGGTCCGTGCCGGCCCGTCAGACTGCACTGAAGGAGAGAGATGGCTGCGGGCGCTCTTTGAGTGCGTGCCAGCGGCGTGCCGCGCTCCCCCGGGAAATGAACACACTCACTGCCTCTCTGGTCGTGCTGTCTGAGAGCACAGCTTGTGAGAGAGGTCAGGGCACGGGACAGCGCCGGGACGGGACGGGAATGGACGGGGTTAGTGGGTGCGGATGGGCCTGGTGATGACCGCCGGCAAGATATGGGACAGGCGGGTTGAGCGAGTATGGTGCTGGAGTTTCAGTCGCTCGTAACCACTCAGGTAACTTCTGTCTGTGTCCAGCGGCGCGTTCAGCCTACATCCCCTCAGCACCCAATTACAGACCACTCTGAAGTCCAGTGTCAACTTCCTGGACGGGCGCTGCGCGGTACGTACCGACCGCCGGACCACCCACCAACGAACCCTGGCCCGGACAGGTGGCAGATGTACCGACAGCCACTCGTCGACTCGGCTCGATCCGGCGCGGCGCGGAAGTGCGCCGCCGCTCGGTGGCAGGTGGGGCGGCACGCACCGGGTCGAGAGGAGTCTCTGATTCACCGGCTGACGGACGGGTGAACTGAATCGCCCCCTGTCGACCCGGCTCTGTTCTGGGGGTACACTTGTCGAGGAAGTGTTAGCCGTCATCACGGGGAGATGATGATGTGAGCTGTCATATCGCGCACGATGGAGTGATTTAGTCTGGTGCGCTGACCGGAGTTAGACCGGTAGAACACAGATCTGACCCCTGCCGAGACACAACACGGGACACAACGCACGTGCCTTGCACGCCGCGCGTTCACAGTGGCGCGTGTCGCGGCGACAGAGGCCGCGCAGAGGCAGTGGCCCGGATTCCGCGCGCTGGTGACGTCACCAGGGATGGTGCCGGCGGAGGGGGCTATTTCTGCGGGCGGCGCGTCATGCTGGGCCGCTGCAGGACGGCACGGGCGGACGGCCCGCGACGGACGCCACTTAGGAGATACGCCGAGCCGCGCGAGAGACAACAGACGAACCGACGGAACGTCTCCAAACAAACGGAGGGTGGGGGGCGACGGGGCGCGACACAGGTGGAACGATACTCGCCACAGGAGGTGGGTAAATAATTTGAATATTGGGACAGCATGGAATGACGTTGAATGACTTTGAGTCGTAGTGAGCTTTGCTTAGTTACAAGTAGGTAATGGGCACGACAGTTACTTGGATTTCTCTGTGCTAAATACCATGCCATATTAATCAAATTTGGATAAAATAGGTTCCGAGTTCCCCAGGCCATTTTAGAGTGCCCTTTTCTGAGGCAATTTAAAGTAGGTATCCTACAATGCTCACAATTGCTCAGATCGGTTGCCGGTCCGATGGCTCAATTGGCCGCCCGTCCGGTGTGTGTTTTATCTCACCGGGGAGCCGGTGCCTGCGGTGGCTGTGCCGGCCCTGACCCGGAGCGGTGTAATCGAGGAGCCGGTGGCGGCCCGCCCGGCGCCGGCTGTGGCCTGTCGATCTGTCCGTAGGGCGGGCGGGTGGTCGGGCTGTTGTGACGGCCTGTCCCCGGCTGTGGGGTGCCATCCGGTGCCACGAGATGTGCCGTGCCGTGCTCGTGCCCTCGAGAGTTGCAAGCGCTTCCGTCAAAGGTGGTGTCGCGTGCGGATTGACGTTAGCCGCCCAGGCCGTCGTTATTTATTGGCGCTTTTAGCCACTGCATCTGCCGGATTTGTCTCGTTTATCTTTATAGCAGGATAGTAGGAAGATGGCGCGTGCATCGTTAGTTTTAACGAAGACAAATCAGAAAGGCACTGGCTTTGCAAGGAGATGTAAATAACTTGTCATGATGCTTGAATTTGATGGGTAAATGTAATGGTCAGTCCGCTTGCCTTACTGCGCGATGACGTCCAAAACATTCCTCATGTTTTCGATCTCGTTTATCATTAGTCACATCACTCTGAACATCTCGAGCACCCTTTGTGACATCATCTGCACGTCAAGGCCCAGCGGTGTGACCTCTCTTCGTACTGAACAGCGATTCTGTCCGCGGCTGACTGCCGACACTGACGTGTGGGCTATGTGACCTCATCTATGACTGAGCAGTAGTGTTAGCTGACTGCCGACACTGGCATCGGCTGGTGTTGTGGCCACGCTTCGGTCAGACCTCTGTGGTGTTAGCTGACTGCCGACACTGGCATCGGCTGGTGCCAGCTCTGCCGTGATTTCACGGCTGAGCGGCATTGGCTCGGCGGCGGCGGCGGCGCGCGGACCGGTGCAGTGGGAGCCACCGACCAGTGGGGGCCGAGGACCACACCGGACGGCGCCAGTGGCGAGCCTGACCCGCCGCCGACGACAGGTGCACTAGGTGACCGGTCCAGACCGGTCGGTCTGTGGCGAGAAGGTGTGGACTGATCGGCTAGGTCTGACCCTGGCCTGGGAGGTGTGTGAACCAAGATTGTGTGAACGGTCAGCGGTTTAGTGAACGAAAGGGGTCTGTGACTGGAAGGCCCACACTGCGCCGTCTAGCTGAAGTCTAGCCCTGTGAAGGTTCTTATTCGTGGCCTGTGGGAAGTTCAGTGGTTGGAGGCGGTGCCATGAAATCTACCGAGGAGCTGGCGTGTCTGGACGGTGTAGCGATTGCTGAATAGACAGCCTGAGTCAAATGAGACGTAGCCGGTGTGGGCAGCATGGCCTGGTCGGGCTGCATGCCATCGCGGTCAAGCTGTGGCGCGGCGATCAGCGGGAATAAAGGTAAACTCCCTCTCTCTCTCTCTCTCTCTCTCTCTCTCTCTCTCTCTCTCTCTCTCTCTCTCTCTCTCTCTCTCTCTCTCTCTCTCTCTCTCTCTCTTTCTCTCTCTCTCTTTCTCTTTCTCTTTCTCTTTCTCTTTGTCTCTTTCTCTCTCTCTCCCTTTCTTTCTTTCTCTTTCTCTCTTTCTCTCCTTCTTTCCCTCTTTTTCTCTTTCTCTATTTCTCTCTTTCTCTCTTTCTCTCTTTCTCTCTTTCTCTCTTTCTCTCTTTCTCTCTTTCTCTCTTTCTCTCTTTCTCTCTTTCTCTCTTTCTCTCTTTCTCTCTTTCTCTCTTTCTCTCTTTCTCTCTTTCTCTCTCTCTCAGTCTCTCTGAGTCACTCTCTCTCTTTCCTCTTCTATTTCTCTCTAATTGTTTCTCTTTTTCTTTCATCTCCGTTTTCCCTCAGTCTATCTTTCCACCCTTTTTACCCTATTTCTAAACTTTACTTTTTGTCTGCTTTCTTTACCCATTCTTTCTTTTGATATCTTACCATTTGCCTTGCTCTGTCCTGTCGTCCTCCCACCTTTTCCTTTTGTACCGTCCGCTTTTCTCTGGCTCTTTTCTCGCGTGCCGTGGATGCCCTTGCCGCTGACCACCTGCAATCTCTGCTCGTTCCGGTACACAATCAACGCCGACACGAGACAAAGCGCTGGACAGTGGACGCGTGCAGTGGCCGGCGATGACAGAGCGTCTCTGTGTGGACGGGCGCGCTGTGGGGTCTGGGTGGAGTCGGAACACTCCAGCCGGGTGCTGGAGGAAGCAGAAAGGAGCACGGCAGGACTGTGGGAGATATTACAGGGTGTTCGCGATAAATTTGACAGTTTTTCATTTCTCTCTTATTTCAAGACCAGTTGGAATATTCGTTATCTGTAAAAGGCAATATTTAGCTCAGCATGTTGTTTGTTATTGGTGGAAAAGTTGTTGAGCTTGGTTAATTGGAACCTGTCACAATCCTTGAAGACAGTGGCCTGCATGATGATCAACCGCGCCGGTTTTCATGTTTGACTGCTGATAAATGCTCTTCAAACGCTGGTAAGGCCGCTAGAGTGAAATTAAAGAGCTGCGTTCGGAACATGGACGCATTGGCCTGTAGGAGACAGTGTGGCGACTGCCCGTTCAGCGACGGCAACATCATGAGCTACCACATCTTCAAGGGAGGTCTTCAGCTGCCCTCGTGAGGCTGTGTGAAGCTGCTCAGCGCGACAGTGAGGCCATGAGTGGAGAGAGTGACCATATGGACATCGGCTCACATGCGAACAAAACTTGTCGCCTGGCTTTCCCTCCGCGAAGAGTCAAAAGTCACTTTTGGAGAATTTCCTCAACCTCACCGGGCCGAACATTTGACCCCCTAAGTCAAAAGACTGCAATCTTATGAGCCGTTGCTTACGTGGCGTAGCTGCGAAAAACACCAGCGATGCCTGTTGTAACATCAAAGTCAAAGGACCAGCAAGGCTGAAGATGGTGTCCTCATGTCTCTGTAGAGACCATGTGAAGACCATCTTCTCCAGGTCAAGTGGCTCACTGAAGGTGTTAGGAGATTGATGGGGACAATTTTTTGAATGCGTTGAAAACTACATGTACTGGGCTATCGTCTGTAATTTGAATGGTGGAAATCCATCGGTTACTTCCTGAGATATCAAGCATTTTCAACAGAGTTGGTGGAGTGTCAAATTTATCGCGAACACCCTGTATGTAGCCTGCTTACACAATATAGGGCTGAGGCTTGGGCATGTCTGACCCTTTCTTTCCTCTACATGTGTAGATATTGGCATTATTTTTTATAACTCATCCTTGTATTTGAGAACTGTTGAGACCAGCAGGCCTGTTTCTGTGATTAAGCTGATTTTTTTTTTACGTATTGCTTGCCGTTTCACCCGCGGTGCGTTCAACCCTCGTCTGTGCTGGCGTCCGACGCAGTTGCGCGCCCACCGCCGAGCCGTCCCGCCGAGTCACCCAGATGGGCGGCGGCTGCAGAGCGCCGTGACGACCAGGGATTCCTGCCCGTGCTGCCGCCCCCGTCCCCGCTCCGCCCCGACCCGTCGGCAGTCTGTGCTCAGTGGGGCTGGCTGGAACGAGACCTGTGTGCCAACGCGGCGCCCTCCGTGTCCGGGGACTCGCCGTGAGAGGCATTTACTGCTGCCGGTTTGGCTGACGCTACAGCCTGACGCGTCGGCACGGCATGTGGACGAGCGTGGAAGCTGTTTTACAGCGGTTTGAACGGTTTTAAGGTGGTTTTGATGACTATTGCGTCAGTGGGGAGCAAGTGTGCCAACTAAAATGGCGTCATTTCTACCCAGCAGACACATGGGATCATTAGACTGATTCTGTAATTGACCGTTCTGACTTGCTTGCTTGCTCAATGCACATTTAAATACTGTATTTAAACACACTCAGCTGAGCGCCTTGTCTTTAGAAATCCTATGCTCGCATCAAAGAACGGAGAAGCATGTCCGTGGATAAACGGCGACGTCTCAGGCAGAAGTCGCAGTAGTGTCTCAGGCTGGACCGACAAGTCCAGTCCAGTCCGACAAGAGAAGACCAGCAGCTGGCTGAATTCCGTCTGTATCGGAGCTGTCTCCGTGTCCTCTGCGCCGCGGTCCATCGGTCTCCCCGTGCTCGCTGCCGGTCGTCCATCATTTGGGTGACACGCCGGTCCGACATGTGTTTACTCAGTACCCCTCAGCAGGCCGATAACCGGCCCGGTCCTCCCCGACGAGTGATAACATCCTCTCAGGGGATATCCGCGCGGATTCTCGTTCTACCTTCCGGCGTGTCATGGTGGACAGGAAGACCCAGCACCCTGACAGAAGACCTAGCGTTCGTACATCGTGCCCTCAGGCTTGAAGGACAGGAGACTCGTGACTGCCTCGTGCCCATGTGTGGGGCCGTTCTCCCTGACGAAGCGCCGTACGCCGCCGGCTTGGACGACCCATCGCTCCTGCTGAGGGTGTTTGGAGAACCCGTCGTCGGAACGATAACCAGACAGTGCGGTTTCGGGTCGGGTGCCGCCCCCACGCTTCATTAGCTCATTACTGAGACGCCCCGGGTGGAACGGAAATAGTCTGACCAACCACAGCGGAAGGGGTGGGCTCGCTCTGGAGCTACAGGAGAGGTGGCGAAGGTGATAAGGATCAGGCCAGCTGGATGTGTGGAACATCTGATCAAACAAGCGTTAAACAAGTGATAACAATTTCAGGAAGTGTTTGAATTTAAACGGCAGCAATAAACCAAATAAAAAATGGTTATTTATACGCTTTTCTAAGCTTCATCTATGCATCAGCACTTTTCTAAAAAGGCCGTCTCCGATGCTCTATTTCTGGCCCAATTTCCTGCCATTTTTCGGAACTTTGCCGCACCTGGCAGTGGGTCTCCGTACGTCTTGTCGAACAGTGTTGAACCATGATCCCTTTTCTTGCTCGGTCGCGGCTGACGACAGCGGCCAATTAGTTCCACGACTCAGCGCTGTGTCGGGAGCTGGGGACTGGAGCTGTGTTACCGCTCCCGTCAGTGAGGCCCAGCTCAGCCCTGTGTCGGGAGCGGCTGAGGTCTGCAGGGCTCAGCGCTGCCAGCTCAGACTGGATGTCTCTGGGGCCTTTGGTGCGCCGTGCGCTGCGGTAGAACGCTTTAACTGGAAATAGCGACGTTAGTTTTCAGGTCGAAATATATGGACGGGACAGCTGTGACTGAAATAAGCATGTGAGCTGAAGGGCTGCCGTTCGAGATCTTTGCAGTAAAAGGTTTTACTGTGTTTCGTTTTCAACGCAAATGATGCAGCTAGTGTGATGAACATCCTTTCGATGTGATTTCAGTATGCGCCATCTAATCTAATTACCTGAACTTACTCTCATAATAGATAATTGACGATGACGTCGACAGCCTGCCCTAGGTGACCGATCCCATCTGATCTGACCCAACCCGCATTCCGTACTGTGTCTGTGGCCAGATGGCTGCCATAACCTGACCCGCCCTGTGAACTGTGTTCTCTCTGTGTTCCTCAGGCGGCGCGGACCGCTGCGGCCGTCAGGTGGCCGCTCTGACCTGACCTGCCCTGTGACCTGACCTGCCCCCGCTGTGTCCCCAGGCGGCGCGGACCGCGGCGGCCGACCGCAGGTGGCCGCTGTGACCTGACCCGCTCTGTGACCTGACCTGACCTGACCTGCCCCCTCTGTGTTTCCAGGCGGCGCGGACCGCGGCGGCCGACCCCAGGTGGCCGCTCTGACCCCGGGCGGCGCGGCGCAGCGCTCCGATGCCGTGTGTGTCGGTGACCGGATCCGAGCGGTGAACGGTACCAGCACAGAGGGTCTGCTGCATCACGAGGTGCTGCAGCTGCTCCGGGACACCGAGCCGCGAGTCCAGCTCGAGCTCGAGTATGACATGCCAGAGTCAGGTGAGTCTCACAAAGATGTTGCACACGGCTTCATGCGCTGAATGAGGCTACCGTCAAGGGCTTGTTTAAGACGACTGTTTTCATGTTGATAGTCATTCTATGTCAAATGATGTTCAATGAGCTAGATTCATTACGACGGAAAAGTCGTGATGAAAATTACTATTTAAATTGATAGACACAAAGAGTGACAAGCAAAACATCTCTCTTTGTGTGACGTTTTGTTGTGAGGTGAGGGTAACAAATCGGACCTAAGTAACCCAGTTACAGGCTATACATTCCCCTAATCCGCTGTTTTCACCCTCGGTGATATATTCCGCCGTATTAACCCGATCAAGGTCCGCCGCGTCTCCCAACAAACTCAGCACCAGGTGCGTGTCTCGAACGTGTTCCACTCGCGATCAACATGACACAGATCTGCCCGACCGGCCGTAGATCGCCGCGCTGTTTGTTGTTTGGACAGGGCGAGTGTTTGTGGGCGCCTGCGGCCGCTCCGGTCTCCGGCATGACGTGGGATTAACTGTAGTGAGGAGGCTCGACAGCCCGGCTTCCGATGGCTCGGCTGGAGCTGGCGGCGCGGAGGCGTGGCGCCAGGGTGCCGTCGATTCGTCGCGCTACTCCGTGCTCTTCCGGGCTCCTCTGGGCCGTGTGCTGAGCGCAGGTCGCTGCACTGCCGGAAGATGCGGCGGCCAGACAGAGGACCGGCAGAATGCCAGCCGCCGAGAGCTCCACGTGGCGGTTGGGACACGACTCGGCCGCTGATCTCGGGGTGGTGATTAGGGAACGGTGACGCGCCCGAGATCCGCACAGTGGCAGGTGCGAGCGGTGACGCGGCTCGATGGGCTGTTGGAATGCGGCTGAGTCTAACTGGTTCTATGAAGTATTGAATGCTGTTCGAATGATTTAGTTTTCTTGGGAATCGATGCGGTGAGTCATCATGCCTTGTGGTGATTCGATGAAATCATTTCCAATTCAAAGCCATCACCTGCATCTCGTTTGATGACTGGTCTATTACAGATCGTCTGTATTTTATGATACCCATTTTTCACATCTAATCGCGATTTCTCTCGGCCAGCCGTGTTCCGCCCCAGTCGGCGCCGGCTGTCTGCCGACACCGCCGCGCTATAATGCTGCAGTCGCGTGACCGGCGGGCTACCATGGACGGCGGCCACCCGTCATTCCGAGCTGTTTTTGTTGTCACCGGGACGGGCTGGGTCGGACCGGTGCGGTCCCATTTCTCTCCACACCCCACACCCTCACGGAACCTCCGGATCGTGTGGGAGGGAGTGGCTGCCGCGCTTGCCACCGGCATTGGTCGGGTTGGATGCATTCACTATGGCCTCCATTTGAGAAGCGAGTGGCGAGCTTTTCAGTCGTGATTGAAGCCTCATTCAGTCGCCCCAGCTCTGAAAAGGTGGTGATTTGAATAGATCGAGGAATTCCGAACCTGTGTAGCCGACTCCTATCCAATCCAGAATATAGTGGCTGAAATTCACATAAATACGAAGGCTTACGGTCTATGCAATATGCATGATTAGTTGTCCCCCATAACTTCAAAAGTGTGTTGTGAGAATGCAATGCATCATTATTTTCGCTCTGGGCAATGCATAAATGCTCACAGAGTCGCAACATGCACTGACGATAATCACACTTCTCCGACCATCCCAATCGGTCTCCCCCCCCCCCCCCCTCCTCCCGCGGTTGCATTGAATGACCCGTCGCGCACGGTCCTGTCACGGGGACGGGGAGGGGTGGCTGTCGTCCCGCCCCGCCCCGACAATGGCCGGGTGCTGACAGCTCCGGACTGAGCCGGGATGGCCAGGGACGGCCCGCGGCGGCCGTCGAGTGCCCCTGTCTACACTGTCACTCTCACACGCGTCTGCGAACCGCAGCAGTGATAGCTGGCAGGTCCGGCTCAGATTTGAACGGATGGCACGGTCGGTCATTTGGGCTCAGTTCGGTTTTGATGATTCTGACGGTAATTTGATACCGCTATTTGGTGTGTTTAAAAGTATTCCTTGTTTTGTTAAAGCTGTGTGAAATTTCTAGCCCTGTTCTGTGGCGGACAGTGCTGCCAAATGGGATATATCCAGTTCCTCCGTGTCAGCCTACTGACGGCCGAGGCCAGACGGCGCGTCACTCGTCTCTCATTACCCGTCAGTCGCCCCTCGTCTTCGGCATCCCTCCCCTCCCCGGCACACCCTCGCCCACCGAGCCGCGTATCGCTCCGGTCTCTGTTTCTGTTGGCGACCTCAGCCGCGGCCCGTGATGGGACCCAGTGGTGACTCGGGGTGGGCCAACGCACGTGGCTTTGTTTGAGAGTGGGGAGGTTCGATGCGTTGGTGTGCAATGTCTACCTGAGTAGGGTCAACTGAGTACCCGCCGATAATTATTAGAACGGCTTCTTAGTGACACTGAAAGCATTTATCTATGTAGCTCTTCAACGCAGCTGTCTCCTGATCGGGCAGTCCCGCGCGCAGCCGTGGATACTGTTCCGCAGCGCGTCAGTGTGCTGCGGCACAGCCTACCGGTCAGGCACGGCGCCTGGCCGGCCCCGCTACTCCGCCGTCCGCATGGGCCGCCCGGCCGGCCGTCTGTGCTGTAAACCGAGAGGGCTCCTGGCACCCGACAAAGTCTAATTTCACAGCACTACTGTGCCCTCGACTTCATTAGCCGTGCGTTAGCCGCTCTGTTTTCGTCAGGTTTTGTGTGACTGGCAGTGGCACGTGCGATGCATATTTATAGGTAGGTCGCTAGCGCCACGGTCAGGTCAACTGAACGTTTTCTTTCATCTGGAACAATTCTGCCTAAACAAGCGTAAACCTCGTTAACTTTGGACCTGCAAACGATAGTTTTTTTCTCTGAATTTCTTTTCTCTTTCTTTTATTTGCCGAGGAGTTCTGGGGAAAATATTTTTCAGTGGCACAAATAAAACTAGGTCGACTCTTACCGTGGTGCTCTGCATATTTTCTTGTTCGTTGCCAATCCCATGTGTGAATTGCAATGCATGCAACACGTCGAGTTATTCGTCTCATCCAAACCTTCCCCGAGGGGCGAGGGCCGAGGAACCTGCATCGAGTGCTGTCTCCGATGCATTGGTGACGGCTGCCAATCTGTCTGAATTCATTGACCGGGAAATTAGGGTTGTGACACTGAAGATTCATTGATGCGGCGGGTGCAAAACATGTTTCGTCACCAGAGATTGGGCGGTGGCATTAATTATGTTTATCTGCTGACGTTATTGGATGTTCCAAATGAATTATCCTGTTTCGGGTCTGCTGTCACCGGGAAATAGTGGACGCTGACCACGGGTCACATCACTCTGCCAATTCTGAATGGGCTTTTTTCGTCATCTTTGACTTTGCTTGGTACCCAGGTGAACAAGAGCAGCCCTAAAACGTGTTTTGAATTTTGATATTCCCATTTCCCACACCGTACAGTACTGATGTGCCGGATCCGGCTCATCTATTTATGTGCCTTAGCCTTAGCCATGCAGTCATTATTGGATGTAATTGAACAATGCTGCATTGCTTTTTGTTTTCGGGAAGAAAATCAAATGTAAAAGAAAGTGTATTCTACCTCTTCCCTCCGCCCTCCCTCCGCCCACCGCCTCCCCTTCGCCCGTGTTTTGAAGTGCTGACTTCCGCCTCTCCCGCCCCTTCCGTCTGGTCTCCGCCCGTCCCGTGTGCCGTAAACAGGTCATAGGGCGCTCCGAGTGGCCCTCTGTGCGTCCGCCGTGAATGGCTCGTTGTCGCCGGGCCGGCCGGTCTCCGAGCGGGCCCTGTTCGCACGCCGCTCACCTGTCTGTGCCTCTCAGCAGCTCAGCACGCGCACAGACACACCTGTCTGACGGTCCTCCACCTCCTCTCGGCACGCTCCGATACATCCTGCGCACCTGTGCGGCGTGCGCGCAGTGCGCACTACCAGCCGACATAGCTGGCTTTCTGGGACGCGTGAAGCAGCCGACAAATAACCCCCTGGCGGCGGCCGGTTGACGAACGGTGTCTGCCGGTCGCTGTGACAGATCATAGAGCGGCCGCCCCGTGCCACGTGCCGGCTCCATCTGATACCGAGCGGTGTGACACAGGACACCGGGTAATACGGGGAAGGGGGCCGGACATTCCTGGACGCGGGAGAGCGGACAGATCAAATTTCTGTCCGGTTGGTGGCATTGGGTGACTGCTCTTGCTTTGCGGAAAGTCGATGGAAGATTGAAAGATCTGCAGTTAAATGTATTGATGTTTCCAGCATTCTCTATCGTCCATTCCCTCCTCTGTCCTCTCTAGCTCGGTGGTCTAAATTTGACAGTGTGATCCCATTTAGTAGGTGCCTTTGAACAGCGTTTCCAACCCTATCTTCGTGCCTACGCGAGGTGTTCTCCGTCTGTCCTGCCTTCTGCTGTGCTCGCCGTGAGTTCGCCGAAGACGGATGGTCCGATCGACCACTACACGTGCACTCTACCCCGGTTCTCGGAGGTCGATAGTGCGGTCGATAACGCAATTTATCGCCCCAGTCCGCTGTGTTATCTCGGCAACAGCTGGCGCGTCTTTCAAAGCTCTGCTGAGTTCATCGGGCCTCCCTTCCTGGCTGCTCTCTGTCTGTCCGACTCGGTTGAGCCATTCTGTGCCAGTTCTCGGCTCAGTTGGCGGCCGGTGCGTTTAACGGCCCTGTTTTCGCTATGGATGTGTGTCAGGGTGGTGTGATGGGCTGTGGAACGCCCCGGATACCGGCCATTGGAGTTTCACACCTGTGACTGAGCGACAAACTGTGGCAGAGCGACGACCGGCGGGCTGCCGCGTGTGAGCTGCGGCGCAGAGTCAACACCGCCCGCGGCTGTAAATCGCCCGATCGGTTGGTACAGTTGGCACGCGGCACCGCCACGGGGGGGGGGGGAGGTTGGTGAAGAGGGCGAGTGGGGCTTGGCTGGAAGCTACAGGCACGTGCTTCGGTCACTCATCCGAAGCCACGTATTAAGTCAGTCGGCGCCCGGTACCACAAGGCATACGTCCACTTATCCAAATATCACGCCGGAGACGGTTAAATCAGGTTTTTGTTGTCTTCTAGTCGATTTTCGCTGCACCGTCCTTCTCCAGGGGAAGAGGTGAGCTGTTCGGGCGGAGCCGGGCCGCCGTTTGACTTTTCATCTGTGTGTGCTGATGACAGAATGTGTCTGTGCGGTGCGAGCGGCACCGGCACGGTCACGGAGGGCGAGACGAGAGACGCGGCGAGCCATGGCTTGGGATCAGTCTTTCTAATGTGGTCTGGAGGAGTTGCGACTCAGATTTACTCGAGTTTTGTTCGGTTCGACTAGAGCACAACCCGTGTACCATGACTCAAGTATGACTCGGCTACGTTAGCCAGCCGTGCCCCACCCGTTAATCATCTCACGCTGCACTCAGGCCTTTGATCCTCACCGCACTGTCGCCGCGTTTGCACCTTCGCTCATCATCGTCTCGTTGCGCCTCATGAAAACATCTGTGCCCGCCTCTCACGTCGCTAAATAATTCATATTAATTGCCATGCGTGAACCATGGCATCCCGGCACGTGTGCCTCAGCTTCGGCAAGGGTTGGGTGCCCCCTATCCAACGTGGGCTGCCTGTGATACTAAGATTAGTGAAGGATATAAAAAGTTTGGCAGATAGCTCGAGATCTTCAGAAAAGTTTGCGACATAATTATCGTCAGCACTGTGCTCGGTCTCGTGATCCGCTGAGAGTAAACGTAAAAGAGGGTCGCTATTTCTGGTTTTATGCGGAAACACTTAGCGCAGTGCATGTCAAACGACTTGCTTCCGCGAACACTCAACACAGTGCAGTGGCATATTGGGCTAGGGTTGTCGCTAGGCACATTGGCTGTCCTTAGGGCATTGACTACGAGATGATATGGGCATTAGAAGTCAATGCGCACCCCCCCCCCCCGCCCGCTCAGCTCGTCTCGGCACCCCGGAACTGCTTGCGGCGGCGGGCGCTGCGGTGTTGTGTTACGAACCGGGCTGGGATGGGGGAGGGAGGGGAGGGAGGGGCTCTGATTCACTCGGTCACGCCACTCATGAGAGGATGCGAGGGTTGATTCCTTGAGAGGATCCCACTGCGAGGATCCAGTTCGGTTGGTCGTTGGGGACTGATATGACAAACTCATTGCGACGAGACGAGCTCAGTTGGGATCGAAGCATTGCAGACATGATTTGATGGTTGATGCGTGGAAGAATTGTCCGTGCCTACTGCCTGATGCTCTTCTTCTCTGAGCGTCTCAATTACACATCGAGGGTTCGGATGACATGTGATCTTGAGAATTATGTGTTGAGCATCGTATCCCTCCCTATGTTTCGTTGTTAAGCAATGTGTTCTAGTAGCGAGCAATATGTTCCGGTGGTTACCAACGTATTTCTTTCTGTTTCAGTGGTCAGCAGTGAGTCGGTGTGTGCCTGTCCGCGTTTTGAGTACTGTATTTCTGTGTTCCAGTGGTCAGCAGTGAGTCGGTGTGCGCCTGCCCGCGCGTCATCCAGGTGATGCTAGAGAAGGAGCAGGGCAGCTTCGGGTTCACGGTGCGCGGCGGCGCCTGCCAGGAGGAGCCGGCCCGATCGCGGCCGCTGACCATCACCCACGTCCGGCCCGGCGGGCCCACCGACAGGTCAGTCAGAGCCCAGAGGGTCACCCATGACCCAGCTACGCCGGGCGGTCCCATGGATACCCGGTGTATGTACTTACCCACCCAGAGGCCAGTCATGTGATCACTCAAATATACGGACGCACTCCCTTTAGAAATGAACGTGAACCCATGAACTCATGGAACGATCTCACTTTGCCCGCCACACCGACCATCTGACCCTCCCTGTTGGTCCTTACTCGCAGAGTAGAGAGTATATCGTAAAGCCTAGCGACCGTCTGACCTCCCCTCCCCGTCCGTCTCTGTCCACAGAGAGGGCACCGTGAAGGCCGGCGACCGTCTCCTGGCCGTGGACGGTGTGCGGCTCACCCACGCCACGCTGGCCGAGGCACACCGGGCACTGACGGCCGTTCAGCGGCAGGCCGTGCTCACCATCGAGTACGACGTGTCGGTGATGGACGCCATGCGCGCGCGCACCGGGCCGCTGCAGGTGACCCTAGAGTGGCCGCCCGGCGGCCTCCTGGGGCTGGCGCTCAGCTCGGCAGGAGCGGCCATCGTCATCGAGAGCATCCGGCAGGCCAGCGTGGCAGAGAGGTGGGTTGGGCGCTTGGCTTACTGGGTCCTGACGGTCACACTCGTACGTATGACTCTCGTACTTACAGTTCACACACGAATGCTTCATCATAACTGTTTTCATTCCGACTCTGATCACTGCCAGGCTCTAGCACTATTGACATACAGTAAATAGGGACGTGCTCTGCTGGTCGGCGTGTTGTCTGTCCCACGCTACGAGTGATAACATCTCGCCTATCATCTTTCTCCCAGGGTGGGCGTGCTGCACGTCGGTGACCAGGTACTGGCCATCGACGACGTCGGTCTGGAGCACATGTCGGCCGCCGAGGCGTCCCGGCTGCTCCAATCGTGCGCCGGTCCCGAGCTGCGTCTGCAGATCATACCGGTCACCGCCCGACGGCTCAGCGACGCCAAACGATGTAAAGGTGGGTCCTTCGCCGTGAGCATTCTGTCTGTGTATTCGTTTTTGTCTGTGTATCTGTATGATTGTCTTGTCACTTTGATTCGTTCGTTCGTTCGTTCGCTCGTTCGTTCGTTCCTTCGTACGTTCGTTCGTTCTTTCGCTTGCTCGATTAGTCTGTCGGTTCAAAACTTGGTCAGTATGCGCTCGCTGTTTCGATAATGTTGTTAAATAAGTAAGCTGAGGCGCCCGCCGCTGTGACTGGAGCGATCAATCCGGAACATGTGTTATTGAGAGGTTAAGAGGAGGGCTCGGCCGCGCACCGGAAGCCGGCGATCTGTTTTTGAACGGCCGGATTGCCGGTTGATTGGTTTGGCCGTCGGCGTGTTATCGTTCATGCTCGGTAAACGGCCGGATTTGGATACTGGAAACCATCAAAGAAGCGTTACGAGGGCCTTGGAAGGTAAAGCGGTCGGGTAGGGCCGATTGAAAAACATTGGTGCGGTTAATTAACATCAAGACATAAGTGTAGTCGAGGGTTGCGTCTGTTCGTATGTTTGGGAATGCCTCCTGATTGAGCACCTCCCATGCAACCCTGCCGACTGGCGGGATCATTGATCACAGTCCCATGTCTCATACCCTGTGCTGAAGTGCCGGATCCCCTGTGTCTTGTAGTGTCACTGTGAGTAATAGTATTGCTGACGATACACGTCACTCCTTGCAATAGTGTGACTGGGACATCTGACATTGCTGACGGTACATGTGTCAAGTGTCATGGCGACCAATGACAAAGCTAACCGTACATGTCACTCCTTGCAGTGTCACTGGGACTGATGACATTGCTAACCGTACATGTCATTCCAGGTCCGTAGTGTCACTGCGACTGATGATGCACGACTGACTGATGGCAATGCTCACCGTGCATGTCGGTCCGCCCGTATGACAGCCGTCCGTCCTGTCTCCGCAGCCACCCTGCCGCCGTCGCTGCAGACGGCCAGCAGCGCTCTGTCGACCAGCAGCTGCGGCTCGGGCAGCTACAACACACTGGGCTCGGTGTACCGGCGCCGCCAGCCCGGACGGACCGCCCGCAAACACCGCGGGCACGGCGACGGCAGCAGCGCGGCCGGCAGTCGGCAGGAGACGGGTCAGTCAGGGGACAGAGCATGAGACGGAAGACAAGAGGCAGTAGGGTACGGTCAGCAAGAATGCATGTGAGAAAGAGAAGGGTCAGTCAGTGGGTTGAATGGGCGGGGACGACAGCCGAAAGGAGACAGGGTCAGTCAGATGACGCCGTGCTCTTGAGAGGTAGTTTCCGCCCTCCCTACACCTGATTGGGCCCGCCCTCCGCTGAGCCCGCCAGACGGGCCGGCGCCGTCACTCGTCACACACCTACGGTCTGCCGTCCATCATCTCCCCCTCCCCTCCCCTTCTCTCTCATCCTCTCCTCTCCTCTCCTCTTCCACGGCCCCGCTCATGACTGTCCGCCTCGGAAGACACTCCCGTCGAAGCCGGAGATTTCCCGGTCGGAGACCGCCGGCTTCCGGTTACTAATGAACTGCGGCGAGCCGGCTCACGCCACGCTACAGACGGCAGTGTTGGCTGGGCGGGAGGCCCGGACGAACAGGCTACTGTTCGGGAATGGGCGGTATTTGGTGAGCAAACGAAAGCAGGGGTGAGTTCCGTCCGTCTGTAGTAGTTTGGCCGAAAATGGCGCCCATGGATCGTAGGTGAGAAGAGTGATGGAACGAGGCTAGAGACAGGATCAAGTAAATACTCGCGAACGGGCGCCTTGGTGAGCCAAATGCGACATATGTCATCTCTCAGTCGTTGCTCATGATATGTAAGCGTACAGACGGTGAAAGCCGATCCAGAATACCTCACAGCACGTCCCCGTGACGGCTGGGACAGTCACCAGCCGTGACGACCATCGTGACGCTACCTCAACGGGGGTGTGACCGAGTTGGAAATACCTCTGGGAGGGGCGCGCTGCCCGTCCCGTCTCCCTAATGGGCGGCACGGGCCGGAGAGGAGAGTAGGGCAGGGGAGGAGGACGACGTAACCTCCAGCTGAGGTCATCTGGCGCGCGGACTGAACCACCAATGACGTCATGCTGTCGCAACGGCACATTGTGGCCGTCGGTCTCAGTCGTTAGCACCCGCGAGGCGGTGTGAGGAATTCCGCGGTGCTGGGTCTGAGCTGGTCGTGAAACCAGTTGCAGTAGGCAGTGGCTCGGTTAGGCCATTTCTATAAGCCTTGTGACAAAGTTCTGGTTTTGATTCGGATATATTGACTCAGAAAGTTTTTTAGAACCGTACTACATATTTTTGGTACATTAAACCTTCCGCCAGCCCTTTTCCTGTCTTACATAACCTGATTTAGTGGAGTGAAATTAACTAAAAGACTCGACCTGGCGGTAAGTTATGCTTACTTCGTTGCACCAGTAGAAAGCTTTTCTTCATGCGTCATGAGCTCTCGGCACCTGACGCCCGGCGGTCGTGTCACTGGGCGTAGGACGGGACCAATTAGCTGGGATTGGCGCCGGTTCCTGGGCCACTCTGCCACTGTGGCCGCCCGGCCGACCGACTCGCCTGGTTTTTGCGTAAAAGTGCCGCAGGATCGGAGGTATTCCTGCTCGGAGCGAGGGAGACAGAGCGGACGTTTTTGTGAGAGCGGAGTCGTGCAGAAGGCACGTGTTTTGGCGTGTGGCGGCGGTCATTTCTCAGCGTAATGGGTCTTCAGATGTTTTTCAGCCATGCGCGGACTGGCGGAATGGGTGGGGCTGAAGGGTTGGAGCGGCCCGTCTGGGTTGACACAGGGCCGGCCGACCAGGGTCATCGTCCGACTCAAACGGCTGCCTTCATTGGAGCAGCCACGACCACTGTAACATTCGATAGTAACACCCGGAATAACACCTGTAGCTGGCTTTATCGGAACCAGCACCTCTCGTCGATTTAAATACCTTTCTGATTTGTGTTTTCCGTTCGATGCTGTGGCTAATTTGGCCTTACATCACCGTGCCCGTGAGCTGAGGCGCACTGGTCTGTCCCCTGACCTGATCTTGTATCGTCTTCTCCCGTCAGGCGGCGGCCAGTACTCGACTACCGGCGGCGGGACGACACTCTGCCATCAGGAGAGCACCACGCTGACCCTGCTGTCCGACAGTCACGGGTTCGGACTGGCGCTGACGACTCGCTCTGACAGTGACGGCCAGACGCCGCCCGTGATCGGACACATTGAGCCCGGCAGTCCGGCAGACAGGTGGGTGAGGGGAGGGGCGGAATAAGAGCGGGGAGTGCGGCAAACAGGTGAGTAAGGGGAGGGGGAGGTTCTGAGGAGTTGGAGCTGATGAGGGATCGAAAGGAGAGGGATAGCTGCTAGGCTAGGTGCGTTTGAGATCGGTATAATTTGAATGACGATGTCTAGTGATTAGTTGGAAAATTGGGGACCCGTCTTTGTGACTGCATCATTTTGCCTTTATTATACAGGAGGATGGCCTCTCCTCGGTGGAATTCACGTTCGCTAGACAGCTACCTATCATACGATGACATTTATTAATTATTATTATGTTTTAGCTGTCCGACGCGGAATAAACAGAGCCTGTTGGCATTTGATTTGGCACGGTCTTGTTGACTCAGCGGTTATGTCATTGTGATGCATGTTTCAGGCAGGATGTTTGGGCAGTGGCCAGTCTCGTAACTGAACTCGTTCACCTTTTAACGAGCCCTTGCATAATCCACCAGAGATTTGGTAGCCCTTTGTTGAAACAGAGTAGTGGGCGTGGCTAGTCTCTGCCAGCCCGCTGCCTTGAGTCAGAGCGGCACATTAGTCTACAATCTTACGTATCTCATTTTACATTACAGCACACTTATTTACTCTACCGTGGCGTTAGCTCCCGTCATGTGGCGTCTATTCTATCGCCCTACCGTCTAACCTCCCCGCCCCCGTCTCTGCCGTCTACCCCAGGTGCGGTATTCTGCACGTGGGCGACCGGCTGCTGGAGGTGAACCACCAGCCGGTGGACGAGCTCTCAGCCGACCAGGCCTCCCGACTCCTGTCCGACGCCCGGCCGCGTGCCGTGCTTACCGTCGAGTTTGACGTGGCCGACGCCGTGGTGCCCAGCTCCGGCACATTCCTCGTCAAGGTGAGGCGTGGGACCGCTCGGCACCCATAGCGTAGGGGGGAGGGGGCGCTATGTCAGTGCTTTGGGACGAGTTGTGCTGTGTGCAGGTGTGACAGGACGCTATTGGCCATATTGAGACGTGGTGAAGTAAAGGCAACCTCCGGAGTCACTGTGATGTTCGTCCTGAGACTGTCGGGAAACACCATGTGACTCGACCCCGGCCTGTTACTGGAATTTTAATAGCTACGTATCTCCGGTCATCAGTCGATTAACCTCGTCGTCTTTCCTTGGCAGCTGGTGAAGCGGGCGCCGTCTCTGGGGCTGACGGTGGCCGCTCCCAAATCACGGCAGCTGGGCGAACCTCTGATCGTGGCAGACGTGGAGCCGGGATCGGTGGCGCACAGGTCAGTCGAGGTCCCCATGGACTACCCCAGACTATGCTAAGTGAACTGCTAAGTGAACCATTCAGCAGTCCCGTAGGTATTCACGACCGGGCCGATGGATTGATAAGGTGATGAAGTTTTAGCTTCAGAGTGATGTTTTTATCGGCTGGTTGTGCTAAAATTGGATGTTTAAAGGCTTGCAGGAAAGCGTCCTGCCGCCAGCTCGTGAAACTGTATTGTATTGTTACTGAAAAGATTTGGATAATTGTTCGTCAGAAAAGCCGCGGGAGATTAAGGTCGTCATGGCTATTTTTGCCATTCAGCAGAAGTTTCGGCCCATGTTATCAGCCCGTGGGGGCCCGCTCAGACCGGGTGAATCAATGCAGCTGGTAGCCGAAACGCTCCAGTTGAGCCTACTTTGAGTTGAGGGGATTAAACAAAGTTCTTCTAACTTCGTTAGAGATCGCGAACTAGTCTCTACTGTCTAATCGCCTACGAGCACACTGGTGATCCCTTTGAATGACAGCTGCAGACGCTGCGGCCTGTCATTTACAGCGTGCTTCAGCGGGAATAGAGCTGTCTATCTAATCCGTATTACCCAAACAGTGCGATCGGTACTCGCTCCGGCCGTGCCCTCGATCCGTGTCACTGGAGCGGTGTGACAGTGTGGGATGGGACAGATGTGTCTCGCGCTGTGGATGGATTGATTGAAAACATGGCCGGGACAGGTGACGGAATTACTTTTGGCAGGACACGCAGCGGCTGGGTGATATTTGTTTTGCATTAGTCACGTCGTGGTGAATGTAAACGGCCGCCACATATGACTGTCTTACGTGTTTTGCGCTGACTGAACTGGGAGAAATAACATTCAATGCATTGATTACCCCGGGCTTGAACTGACCTTACTCAGTTGCGGCACCGACACGGTGATTTGACCCGACTTCCTTCTGACGCCGGGACAGTGCCGTGAATCCGGGTTACACCTGATCGGTCTCAGCCTCAGTAAAAACAGAGCTCTAACCAAGTTACAGGCCTCTCTGATCCAGGGAGACTGGCATGGCTGACAGGACCCCATATCCGAGCTAACCTGACGTCTGACCCCAGGAAGACTGACAACTCACCCGTCTCTGACCTCTGACCCCAGGAACGGCACCATCGAGCCGGGTGACCGACTGCTGAGTATTGACGGCGTCCCCGTGGACCGTCTGACGGTCCAGCAGGCCTCCGAGAGACTCCACACGTCCGGGGACATAGTCACGCTGCGCGTGCAAAAGGACAACCTCTGGGCAGGTACGGGTCCGTCCGAGCGGCCGCCAACTGGACTCTGGGCTGAAGAAGTATTGCAATTTTAAAGTCATAACTGGTCAACGTAGTTTGAAATAAACACCATAGACCCAAGATGCTAGGCAAATAGATATACGAGTATGACGTATGTACATGTGTGGGATGTGCAGGCCATGCATGCCGGAGGCTTCGTCCTAGTTTAGTCCAGCTCGTCACAGACAAGGTACCCCAGGCCCACCCCCTCCGTCGAGGTTCATGTCACTACTTGTAGCGCCCAGCTGTGTGGTGTTCCGAGTAGATGTCCCTTGCTCCCCCCTCCCTCTGTCTCAGCTGGTGGTAGGTACTCATATCGCCGCGGTATGTTTTCATTCGGCGCCACTCGTCTTTGGCGGTGGTAACAGATGAGCGTGGTTTGTTTGGATTTGTGACGCCGGCCGCCGCCGCGTTATGATAAACATTGTGACGGCGTCTGTTAGTGGCTGCCAGGAATGGGAGTGGGCGGATCGTAAATCAGGGGAGACTCGGGATGTCAGGCCTTTTTCTGGTCATCTATGGGATAGTCATCAGAGCTGAATGAACTGGGATGACGATGATTAGTTGATCTATAGCTTTGGTGATGTGGATGACTCGTTAAACGCTTAGTCCTTAGATATATCGCGAGTAGTGAATATGCCTCCTCCATCAAATTTTTTAGATGTGTTGCACCATCGTCGTGCCCGTATATAATTCGTATGAGCTGTGTGGTGTAGCGCTTGTGCAGCGTGCCCGCCTGACTCTCATAGTGTCCGTGTGTACAGACACGTCCGACCCGTCTCGCGTGGTGTTTACCGTGGAGCTGGAGCGGCACGGCGGACCGCTGGGACTGACCATCTCCGGAACGGAGGAGCCGTTCGACCCCGTCTTCATCTCCGGACTCACAGACGGTGAGACAGCCGGTCGGGGCGGGCAGAGTGGTCAGACAGTGATATAGTGTATGGGTGGCTGTAGTCTGGGAAGACATGCCTTATATTATTCTAGAGTATTCTAGCTACTATACATATCATTCGTGTTTCTAGTTTGGGTCGGTTTTCGCTTTAAGTTCGTTCGTTGTGCCAGACGTAGCCCCTGCTGCGACTGAGTCGTCCTCATAATAGCCGTTTTCACGACGGCCATCTGGTACACATTTGGTGCACATCTGGTACAGATTAGGTGCAGATTTGGTCAAATCAGGTTCAGTGTGTCTCTTAGCAGCTATCAGCTAGTTGCACTAATTGCTTATATGCCTGCTTTGTCATATTATCAGAGAGCATCATCGATTAAAACACTGAAATAAATTCATTAAATGAAGATATTTGCTGTAAAAGAAATTAGGTGCAGATTTGGTCAAATTAGGTGCATTCGCCGGATAGCCCGTCGTGAAAACGGCTAGTATGACCGGAACTGACCGCTCCCGCCCGCAGTATGACCGACTCTGACCGTTCTCCCCGCCGGCAGGCGGTCTGGCTGAGCGGACGGGCGCGCTGCACGTCGGTGACCGGGTGCTGGCCATAAACGGCAGCTCTCTGCGCGGCCGGCCCCTCTCCGAGGCCATCCAGCTGCTGCAGAACTCGACCGACGTGGTGCGCCTCAAGGTGGCCAGAGGAGCCGTCAATAGACGTGAGTGGAACTTGGGAAGGGAGGGGTCGGGAGAGTCGGTGCGGTGACTGGTACAGCTGGAGTAACTGCCAGCTTAGTTTGTCAGGACGGGTGGAGGGGTAGGCGAATGCAGCGATGGCCACACAATGTGGCTACGGCCTAGGAGTTTGACATGTCAAAATGGTTTCAGGTTCAAGCTTTCTTATCTCAGCCCTCTTAGCTTTCTCTCTCGCTTCCAACTCACAGCCCTGCTACCTGAGCAGTGTTCCTCTCACTACCACCTCGGCCCTTTCACCACCCTCCCAGCCCTTCCAGCACTGACCGTCCGCCCCCGCTCGGCCCAGGCGGCTCTCTGAGCTCGGCCAGTCTGAGCACCAGCGGGTGTCGCGACCCGCCGCGGCCGCCCGGCTCGGCCCTCGCCTCCGTGGACAGCGCCGTCGAGTCGTGGGACAGCGCAGCCGCGGCCGCCGCCGAGCTGCCCCGGCTCCGGCTGGCTCCGGCCGGCTCCGGCTCCGGCTCCGGCTCCGACTGCATCGACGGAGCCAAAACGGCGGCAGGTAGGTGACCAAACGGAAACGAGGAAGATGTGACAGGAAGCGTTTTTGTGCCGATAAATGAACCTAACGAGTTGGCAGATGTATGCCTTGGCTGCTTATTAAACGGCTTCTTGCTCACTTGAAACGTGTGCTATGTTCTAACGATCCAATGTCGGATAACTCCTGACCCATCCGTCCGTCCCTCGGTCAGACTCGGGCTGTGACCGCGACTCGGGCGGCGCTGGCGGCGAGCGGTGGGAGACGCAGGCGCAGCGTCTGGCCGCCGGCCGGCCCCAGTCCGCCCAGGGTGACGACACTGAGGCGGAGGAGGACTGGAACAAGGTGCTCTCCGACCTGGAGGAGGTCGAGTCGTTCCGCAGGGACTTCGAGGACCAGCGACTCGATGATGGTAAATGGGCTGAGCCGTGGTGGAGTACATAATGAGGTGACGCTGGGGTGGTTGCTGTTTGGTCCTAAATGTAGATCTTGCCGATTACGAGCCGGTGCCTGGATTGTTGAAGTGTTTGTTACTTATCGCCTTTTGTAGCGATCGGTTTATCATTGAATTGCTCTTTGTTATAACGGATTAAGTAGGCATGACACCAGACTGTTTAGTTCCAACATGCCTGAAGCTACTCCGTAGTCTATCTAGTCTGGCAGCTGTGTCTCACAGTGTCACCGGTTGCAGGCGCGGGCCGTCGGCCTGCGGGCGGCAGCGGCTCCGGCAGCGGCGCCGGCAGCCTCTGCGGCAGCCGCGCCGTCTCTGTGAAGCCGCCGCGGCTGCCCAACTGGACCACCGAGGTGTCGGCCGGCCTCCACCCGCAGTCGGAGTCGGAGCTGGCCGAGCGCCGGCTGGCGGCTGGCTCCCTCTGCCGGCCGCGGGAGGAGGCGCGCGGCGCCGCCAGCGCTCCCGAGTTCCGGCTGCCCGGCTCCTATACGGCGCTCAGTCGCGACAGCCGGCACCTGGTGCCCGTCCAGGTGCACCGGGTCACCCTGTTCAAAGACCCCGTCTATGAGGACTTTGGGTTCAGCCTGTCGAACGCGCTCTATGTAAAGGGCGTGTTCGTGGCGCGGGTGAAGCCGGGCGGCCCGGCGGATAAGAGCGGCATCCTGCGGCCCTACGACAGAATCCTGCAGGTGAGCTGACTGCTGCATCGTGGGTGATACTGCGGCCTAGTTCGTTTGCCCACTCATAAACCTTTGATTTTTGTAGTAGTGTGCTGCGTCTTCAGCCATTGGTTTTGCAGTGTGTGCAGCGGCGTGAATGCTTGCTGGCCCTAGTTTGCACGCCCTTGGATACTAAATCAGGCACAAGAAGTCACTTATTCATTACGGAGCGAGCGAAGCGAGCGGAGTCTTACGTAGAATAACGGAAATTTCTGAGTATGAGCGGCCGGCCGGCCGGCCGGCCGGCCGTGCGGACGCTTTTGCGAGGCTTATATCTCAGCAACCACTTGACCGATTTACATGCGGTAATTTTTGTAGGGTAGCTTCATTCCTTCTACCAAGTATTGGACTATTCCCGATGCATGTGGGTGACCCCTTATGCACGTGCCACGTGCAAAACGAAGAGGTGTCACTTTTGTAATTGTTGCAATATCTCGGTAACTACTTGGCCGATTGCGCTGAGAGTTGGCATGTAGGTAGGCACCCACTAGGCACTGCATATCCATGTGCCAGAGTTGGGGTGCCGCTGCACGTGCGCACGTGCAGGGGTCGTTTCCAGATCTCGAGAACGGCTCGACCGATTGCGCTCAAATTTGGTACACAGTTAGGGACCGGTTACTAGGGTGCCGTGCACGAGTCAGTTGGGACCCATTTTGCACGTGCGCACGTGCAGGGTGCCGCTTCCAGATCTCGAGAACGGCTGGGCCGATTGTGCCCAAATTTGGCACATCGCTAGAGACCAGTCAGTAGGGTGCCGTGCACAAGTCAGTTGGAGGTACCCCCTCGAAATTTCGCACTTGCAAGACTCACCCCCTCGCTCGCTCCGTTAGTCGCCCCAAAAGGCGCTATACTGGTGCTTTACGTTACCTTATAACCGTTGTTAATCATTGTCTCTGCTATGCTTTACAACCACACCGCATTATTAATGACTGCGCGTCATGATTAATTCCGACTGGGCGGCCGGCCGTCGCTGTTAGGTGTGCGACTTTAGGGCGGGTGGGCACGGCGGTACCGGCCGAAATCCGCTGCAGATGTTCCTGGCTGGCATCAGGGGCCTGAGGCAGCGAGGCGCCAGCGAGGTTGGTGACGAGCGAGCACCAACTGCACCACAGGCGTGGACATTCTGCATTCGGTGTCCGTCCGCACAATTCGTCCTGGGTGCTTGTCTGATTTGTTGCACTTATGGTCTGTCATTTCACATTCCTACGGTTTGTCCTGCCCGTCTGTGTCCGTGCGTGCATCTTCTACTTCGTCCTCACGCTCACTTGTCGACTATCACAATGATCGCACCCGGTTTTGTCATGTCTATTTCATCGTGTTTTAGAATCGATAGTCGCTTTCAAAGCCATGATTCGTGAGAGATACGTCATGATACGTTATGTGTAATGCTTGCGCCAAAGTGTGTGTCCATCAATCAGCCTTGTGCCTTTCATTTACGGTTTTCTTCGGCGCGATAGTTACCTACTAAGTCACTGAGTGACCAGAGTCGTTCCATCACGAGCGCGTCTGACCGGGCTGAGGTGTGGCTCTCGCCACACTTATGCAGATTTGACACAAAGGGCCAAGCCATGTCACATTCGACACATCTTTTTTTCGTGCAATTCCGTCTACTGACTCAAGCGCTGACCCGATGTTTGGCCGCCAGGTGAACCAGACGCCGACCACTGAGCACGACTGCTGTCATATCGTGCCTCTGATCGCCTCGGTGGGCGACCGGCTGGACCTGGTGGTGGCGCGGAACCCGCTCACCGAGGAGCAGCCGCAGCTCGAGGTGAGGACGGATGGGACGCGGGGCATAACGGGGACAGGATACGACCGATGAACGGGAAACAGGACTGTGTTTCGCCGCGATGTGGATGGGGTGGCAGATACTCGTTACTTCTAAATAATACGTATTCGATGTTTTTTGCCGTGTGTTTTCAGTTTGCTTCGGGAACTTTGATATTTTTCGTGTTGTCTTTTTTTTGCCCCGGGTCTGGGTTAAGATTTTCGGGTTCACTATTTCACCTCCACCTCCGCTATTTCACCTTCTCGCCTTTAGCGTCTCTTTGCTGCTCTGTTGTCAGTTCCCTGTCTCGAGGTAACCACCGCGCTGTCTCTGTTTGTTCAGGACGAGCCGGGCCGCCATCCGTGGGAGGAGGATGAGGACAAGGTGGTGGACTCGACAGAGTCAGCCGTGCCGGCCAACCTCACCAACCACGTGCTGTAGCGGCTGCAGAAGGACTGGTCTGCGCTGTACTACCGCTGGCGGACGGGGTAGGACTGGTCGGCCTGGGGAGCTGACAGTCGCCGGGGGGTGGACGGTGCCTAAACGGTCCGTCACAGCCGGGTATTTTGTGGATAGAATGGCCGCTGGGTAGGACGGTCGCAGCTAAAGGTGGGGCGTGGCGCCTGGTACTGCAGTGTCCGGTTCAGTACCGGGGACTCTGGCCGGGAGGTGAAGTCCGATGGACCATATTTTGGTACACTGAGTCGCGTGCTACACGCGGCGTGGCCCGCCAGTGAGTGTGACTGGTTCCTGTGTACGGACTCCACGAGTCCCGTGTGGATGTAACGGCAGCTATGACGAGCGACGGAGAGACGCCGGTTAATATTTGTAACTACTCACAATGTCCGGAGAGCCGCACCTATGGCCGCGCCGGCCGTAGCTCATAGGTTTGAGGGCAAGAACGGCTGCTGGAACACGGCATTTGGGCACAGCGATTTTACCGACGCATTCGGAGAGTTGTTGGAGCGTTTTTAGAGTGACGAGTACTGCCTTGAACTGGCTTTGAATTCCGAGAGGGAAGGTGTTAGCGTGGCTGTATTTTGTATTGTTAACCTAGGCGCACCCGGTGACTTACCGTTTTAAATTTATGTCAGTGACTCGAGTTGCCAGTATGTCGCAAAATACGATATAAGGTGGGCTACTCAGCTACTCCGAATGCATTTCAAGTTTGAGTAAGCATTTTAAGGGCGAATCGTTATTAATCTTGATCAGCGAGAGCAAGAGCGTTTGTGTTTAAGCAAATTGGTTACTCATAAGTCATTTCATCACAGTGTTTGATGATGTTAACTTGTTGTAACTGCCTGGAGCAAGCATTACACGTGTTGAGCGTTGTCAGCGGTTTTGCGGGTTTCCTACAGTCTGCCTCTGTATTCGGTGCCGACCTAGGGGACGGCACGTCGTCGTCGCACCCGTCGCTTCAGGTCGCTTCAGTTTGGTGGGGTAGCCGTACTTGCGTTATATTTCGGACGATTGGTTGTTCACTCCAGCTAACAAAAGACAGTTATCTTTCGCTGACGCTGAACTTTGCTGAAATAAAAGCGAAACCGCAAGCGATAGGCGAGAAGCAGTCTGTTAGTTTATAGCTTTCCATCAACCCTACGAATCGCGCACTGTTTGACGGACGAGGTCGTATTAAAATGTCACTTGAGACGGACAAAACTGGACAATTTACAGAGGTGAACTGTTACGGCTCAGTCAAAGTTCGGAGGCTGGAACTCCATCACGGCGCTCTTGTCCAGTTCGGTGTTCAGCCCGTGGTAGCGGTACATGCCGAACCGGAGCAGGCCCTCGGTGAATTTTGTGTTGGAGCCGTAGAAACAGGTGGGCATGGTGTGAATGTTGGGCGGCAGTCGACCGTAGTCGTTCTGAGATGTCTTGTACAGTGGATGCTGCTTGCGCTGACCGTAGCCGCCAACACAATCTGGAAAATCAACGCAACGTCACCTTCCATCGCTAGATAGGCTGGCGATGCCGCAAGGCCTTAACTGAGAGGATTATATACCTTGACTATTGTCCTTGTACCCTTTTCCTAATAGCCCACTTCTTGCACATTGTACAGGCTTTCTTTTCATTACGAAATTTCAAAGCTTGCTTTAATTCTTTATGCCATCGATTTAGTAATTGCATAAGGCGTAAGGCCAAACTTCTTACCTGGTTTGTTGAAACGTTGAGGGAGGTTTTCACATGCCGAATATACATCAGATACCTTATCCTTCTTAGGAATGGAACACATTTCGGCAGCTTGTGGCGTTGTTCTTATCGTTTGCTTTCAGTTTCCGTAAAGCCTCGACGGCCCAGCCTGGTCACTTTCCTATACAACCTGAGGTTCGCTGAACTTCGTAATGCTACAGTCGGCTCAAACGTATGCAAGAGCACCACTCTGAAATAAGTTGAATTAGCAGAAAATACGCAGACTAACCACTGGCGCTAGCAGGACTTGCCGACGAAGTTGACTCACTCGGGACTGGCAACCTGTGACAACTAGCGCTTATTGATGGTCGCCATGGCAACGGCCTGGGGCTGCGGCAACCTCTGCTTCCATGATGGCCTGAACACAACACCCGACACGACCCCGTTTGATCGATACCCTCCGCTGCCGAATGCCTCAGGCAATGTCCTTTATACGCCTCAGTAAGACATTTTCCGTTTATCAAGACGTGTTCTCTGCCGAGGCACTACTTAGCGAACTGCCCGTTCCAGTTGATAAAAGTTAAGCTGTTGGTCAATTTCAGGCTAGTGAGGTTTGATTTTCGGCCGGTTGGCTGGTGTGACCGCTGTGATCACGGGCCGGCCAAACTGCACCGGTCGCGAGTCCTTCCGTTCCTGTTCATAGATGTCGCTAGTAGTAACGCCTGCAGGTATGCTGTGCCGCATGGCTCGCACTCAAAACGGCCACCGCTCACACGGGGCTCTTATTTCTTACAACCTCGACAAATATCAGAGACAATAACAAACAAAAGAACACAGACACGATTGATTAGCCCATGACACGTATCTAGTTTGACAACGCAACGAAACTAAGCTCGGGCTATCACCAAGCTCCCATTTCCGTCAATAGGTACTCACCGTATGTCGGCAGCGCCAGGTTTTGACAGGAACACGAATGCGGAATAAGAACATAATACATTGCTAATTGACACGCTTGGCGTCTACGGATCTCCGGATGACCGATAGACCACACCGCCCCCAGTCGCCCGGTCACCCATCAGACGGCCGTCAGAGCAGCCCGGCACTATCACAGTCCACAGACATGTAACGCTGGTCTGTCAGGTGTCGTGCAACCACATCAGCCGTACTTAGTAGTCTTGCAACCGAGTCAGCCAGCCAACCCATCATGCATTCCACCAGTAATACCATACAGTCCCAGGTTCATGAAGAAGTAGACCTTCCGGATGACAGCGAAGTGCATCTCTCCAAAGGTCACTGCTCTCGGGGCACAGGGCCGCCAGTGGCGGGTCGCGGACTGGCCGCCGGCCCAGCGGCTCATCCTATGCATCAGACCACGCGGCGGCGGCGGCGGCGGCGGCGGAGCGTAGGCGCAGTGCTCCACCGGCGCCGCGTGGAAGCCGCTGACGTGTCTGAGTGGCGCGCCCAGCCGGCGCAGACACAGCGACAGCTGGGTGTCAGCGGGCAGCCGCGGCGAGCCGCAGTCGGCGGCGACCAGCGCGCGCCGCGCTCCCTCCGACAGCAGGATCCCGGCGCGGCCGGACAGGTGCGCCACCCGCCCCGAGCCCGGCACGAAACTCTGCGTCAGCAGTCCCCAGGCCAGCGGCCGGTCGGCCGCCGCGCGCGCCACCAGCAGACGCAGGTGGCACATGGCCACAAACACTGTGTCGGGAGTCACAAAGTAGAAATCGAACTTGTCCTTGGAGAAGCGCTCCCGTTTGAACGCCAGCTGGATGACCCTGTACTGAGCGCGCGTCACGTTCACTAGTTTACCGCCGGGCACCAGCGCTGGGGCGAACGAGGGGAAGTTGGACGGCAGCCGGCGGTCGGTGGCGAACTCGAGACCGTCACACTCGGAGCCCCAGGTGTCTTTCACGGCCCGCACCTGCTCCAGACGGCGCTTGGAGTCGGTGACCAGAACCAGACAGAACACACGCTTGGGTCCGGCGGCGCGGTCCGGGCCGTCGCCCCACGGGTCCGAGCTGGTGTTCGCCAGCAGAGCTGTGTACGGGTCGTCCCGCACGGGCAGGCGCCGCGCCTGGCGGTCCCGCATCATCAGAGGAATGAAGACCAGAGTCACGAACGCCAGGATCCAGCCAATGAGCGCGCCCGTGATGAACGTCAGCAGGATGTGGTGATAAGCGTGCACCTCGCGAACGCGCTGCTGCGGACGAACGTAATACTTTCTGCGCCACGACAGATGCATCGCTCGTCAGTTTAACTTGTCGTTTCTTTCTGCGTTGGTCTTACACTGGAGCTGGGTTATAGGCTCAAGACCACATTAGTTGGTAGCTGGATTTAGCAAAACACTTCACTGGACCAACTAGTGGAGGTATCTTTGTGTATTTGCGCTAGTTGTGCACAAGATCACACCGAACCGTGGTATAGCACAGTTGATATGTGCAGTGTCGCGCAGACAACACACTAGCCCGTTGGGGCAGTTCCGTCTCTGGTCACAGTGCAACACACAGTGTCGGCGCGTCGTGTGGACGGAGTACTGGACGGAGTGATACTCGATGTACAGTCACGGACAGACAATTAAATCGGTGTGCCATTAAGTAGTGTAGTGGCGGAATTAAATCAAAATCCACTACAAACGACGCAGCAAATGTAACATATGCCGCGAAATGCGCACGGAAACACAAGAATGGCCGGGACCTTGGAATGACCTTGAAATAAAGCGATACAGGGAGGAGTTACGAGGTGGTTACGAGTCAGACCACGGTCACGTGCCGTTTACAAACAGCATCCTTCGTTTTTTTAGCGTAGAACCGGAAAGAGGTCCGTAACAGGACCCAATGACGTGAACAGAATCGACCGTTTATGTCGACCATCCCTTTCTAAGCACGTCCAAAGACAAAGAACTTAACAAATACTTGGGCATAGGGATAGTCGGCCCACCCACGCTTCAACTATCTGGACAGCTACTAATGACGCATCTGAATTTGATTTGACGATCAACACAATTATTACATTGGCGTATGCAAAACAAGACGAATTGAAGTTATTCAATTATAAGAGTTCAGTTACGTAATAAGGAGCTGCATAATAAATAAAATGAGATCCGTCAGAGATCAAACAATGATTGTGTGAGTTAATAAAATTGCACGGTGTAGACCTTTGCAATATAATGCTGAAAACTGTAACCGTATTGAATGATTCGACACTGTGCTTCGGCATCACGACTAGACCATTGAACACGACTCCAGTATACCATTGATAGGCGCCCTGTGAAAGTATACCTTCACCTACACACCCCACTGACTAGATCATCTCTCACCAGTACCCACGCTTCGCTGCCACGCGTACTCGTACCACCGACAATATCACCGTCTCTCACCACTCACATCACGGATACAGTCATCATTCCTCCTCAGAAGAGGACCATCATGACTGCCTACCTCCTGTGATGAGACTGACCGGCCACAACTGACCGATACCACCCGCTCAGTGCCGCAGCCGCCGGTCCCTCTCTCTCACTCGGCTGGGGTGGACGGAGCCGAGGTGGGTGTGTGCGTCTGACGCGAGCCCTGGGTGAAGAACGCCAGCAGCTTGCCCAGGTCGTAGTTGTAGAGAATGTCCAGCAGTTGCGGAACCTTGGACTTGACGTTCACACCCTGGAACTTGTGCTTGTCGATGTACAGATCCGTTATCATGCCTGAAAACGCATGGAACGTTACTCACACGTAAACTTTTGGGAGGAACGAGGTTTATTTCCTGGACCTAAACGTAAGTTATTATTTCAATTGACAAGCAACTAACGGTTTAGAGTAAAATAGGCAGCATACATATTTTAGGGTAAGGGCGGGTAAGAGTACGCGGGCGATAAGAGTACGCATCAGCTGTTTCGGTTGCTTAGCAACGCGGGTTTGTCGAGTTCATGAAGTGACATGAAGCCGCCAGTGCGTGCTTGTCACCAACGGAACGTGGGCGTTGAGCGGCGACGCTGTTGAGTTTAAGGCGATAAATATCATTTTCGAGCGTTATGATATTATTATGATATGGTACAATAATTTTGATACTTGGCAGTTGAGATAAGGTACATTTCCGTGATTGTTGTGGGAAACTTGTGAGGTTATCTGGGGAAATACTGTGCAGTGCAATATTCTGTTTGCGAAGTTTTGCACAACGTTTCGGGGTTGTTTTGTGCGCGAATTGCATGTACGGTAAGAGGACGCACTGTTCAGGAGGGTAAGAGTACGCAGAATTATACATTAAATCGAATATACAGAAATACAAAATTATTAATCTATCGCTCAATGACGTTTGTTTTGTAGGTATATCATCAATGGAGCACTGTGATGCGGATGCGTACCCGAAATTCTTCCAAATACGAGTTATTTTCCCTTTTGATTGTACATTTTTTTAAGAAACGCACGACATAATTATTTCCTGATTTATAGGCTTGAAATATTTATTTTATGTTTTTCTTTTTGGATACTAGAATTAACTTAAATGCCTTCTGAGTTTGAAGTTAAGCATTTGGACAGTACAAGCTGCATAGGTGTGTGTTCATATGCTTGCGTACTCCACCCGCCTGGCGTGCGTACTCTTACACACCCCATATGGTAAGAGTACGCAACTGCAGCGGTTCAGAAAATGTCAGTTTTAGACCACTTCCATTTACGCTGAAGGATCGTTGCCCCATGGGCTGATGGCTAATTCAATGAACTTTAATATTCCCTATTTGCAATTTCTTTCTTTCAAATATCAAACAAATGAGAACAAGAAATCCACTAAGTGCGTACTCTTATAAGACTTCACCCTACGTCAAACATCCTATGGGTCGGTTGCTTCGCACCGAGGAGCCTCCCTCGTTCGCAGTCTGATCGCTCCGTGGAGAGGATCTCCTTCTGTCCTTCCGACCCGTACCATAGAGCCTCTCGAGGTGCGCCGGCTGGCGGCTGCTCTGCTCCTGCAGCTGAGCCGCCTGCTGCAGGATAGCGCGGTACTCGGGCGTCAAGAACGCCGCGCCCGAGTCGTGCTCGTGCGCCACCAGCTCTGTGAGCGGCCCGATGAGCGCCACCTTCTTGGCCAGCTGCAGCTGCGCGTCCAGCTTGGGGTGCAGCAGCTGCAGCGTGTGCACCACGCTGCCCTCGTTCACGTCTGGCGGCGCACACGGGCGGGGAAAGGTGATGGTGGTGAGAGAGGCGGGACATCAGTGACAATGGTAGACAATAATATTATATACACTGGACATGGTTTTTATCTTAATAGCGATGAACATATGCCCTATGTAGATCCACTCACAAAAAGACATTCATGACACCTCAAAAGAGAATTCGGTCAACGGAGATGTATGCCGTGAACAGCGAGAACTCTACATACCGCAGTTGATGCTGAGGTGGATTTTCTTTTTGGTGGCCTCCTTGGTCAGCACGTCCTTGATGATTGAGATGGTGGAGATGTTGTCCGACTTGAACTCCACCTGACCTTGTCTGCCGAATGACGGAAACAAACGCATCAGTCAAGACTTACAGACAAGCACTTTGCCAACTACAGCTAATAATCATGGCTTTCTACTAATCAACCAGTTTTATAGTACAGTCTGCGAATTCTCATGCTCTGTCCGCAAACCCTCCGTGTCCATCATCCAGTTTACCCCCGCAGGCCTCACCTATAGTTGACATGCAGCATCGTGTCCAGAAATGTGGATACGAAGCTGAGCGTCGCCGAGTCGGCGGAGGGGGGCCGCTCGGGCACCTCGGGCAGACAGAAGGCCAGCCAGGCGTGCACCTCGGCGTAGCTGAACTTACCCGTCAGCGTCAGACTGTTGTACGGCCTGCGGCGGAGACGGGGCGGAAAGGGGGATGGCTCAGTTAGTCGAGGGGCTGCTACACTGGGAAAATAAAAACAAACAACCACGGCTGACAGCAGATTCCTCAATGCGTCCCTCGACATGGCTATCTTCAACCAACTGACTTTCAGTGACACTCTTTGTCTTGCATAGCCATTAGTGGAATTTTTCAATGAAATAAATGAAATGTTTGACATGTTATATTTTTTACCGCCGTTCGTCACTGATATCCTGGCTTGAATCCCGCCCCCGCAGTCCTACCCCCACCCCGTATGTGTCGCACGCACCTATTGGGGTCGAAGCGGTGCGCGCGCATGTGCAGACTGAGTGGCTTGACCTGGTACTGGCGGACCTGGCAGCACTTTGGCTGCAGCCGCGGCGTCACGTACGCCTGCAGCCGGCCGTACTGACCCTCAATGGTGCGTATCTTCACCTCCAGACGGGTGGTGTTGGCCTGGCACCGGTAGGTGGCCAGCAGGAAGTTACCCGTCTGCTGAGGGAGCGGGAGGAGAGGCGTCTGTCGAAAATTGTGCGCAGGGTGCTGATTCTGCGATTTAACGTAGTTCATAAATCGATATAAATTGCACAGTAACTGGTTTCACGACAAAAACGTCACGCCAAAACTGATGTACTCAATTTCACGACCTCATTAATCTTTCACCAGATCGTATCAGTGGAATTTGCTATAATTCGATGAATCACGGATACATAATGTGCCACCAGCTTAGGATGGGTAGACCGGCAGGCGGCAGTCAGCCGCCACCGTGCCTGTGTCGGCTGATCCCACCCCCAGCGGGTGCGTACCGACTGGTCGCAGGTGCTGTAGCTGACGACGGCCGAGTTTTTCTCCACATCCAGCAGATCCACCGGCACGTCGCTCTGCAGGAGGACGTTGTCGATGGGCGTCTGCACCTCGATGGTCAGCAGGTAGGAGGCGTCCTCTTTGCTCAGCGTCATCTGAACACACGGGCAAAGGTAAAACTTCACGCATTTAAAAGACACATCTCATGAACTAAAAGATGAGTCAAGGGTGGAGGCTAGCATTCCTAGACGGAAAGCGAAAACATTCAAACACGCCACAACTAACTGTTCGTTCGTCCTACTCGTTCGTAACTAGAGTTCGTCCCATGTTCGACATGCGACTGCTCCATGCGGTGTCTTCGATCATTTATCCTTTATTTATCAATCAGCTGACCCCCGCCGGTCGCCTCACCCGGTCGTTGACGGATATGTAGGGGACGGCTGAGATGCCTCCCAGGCTGCTCTGGGTGGTCTGGTGGTAGCGCTCCCGCTCCCTGCTCACTCGCTCCTGCAGACTCTCCACCTCCGCCCTGACACGGAAGGAGTGGGGACGCCGAGTACAACGTTATTTATTACACTATGGTACAACTGTGACGTCAGCGAGGGCAACGATGGACGATCATCGATGCGTGGATATATTAGCTATTTGGTCATTGTCCACCATTTCATTAAAAAAAAACATCCGAAAGCCCGAAGAGCATACACAAAAGAGATTCATCGAGTCTTCTTGCAAACGATTACTTTGTAAGTGCGATTGTCAAGACGATGATGGTAGTTTGCTTCACAGTCACGTTCGAGCCTAGCATTGCGATCAAACACGAAACAAGTGCCGGATACGTCCCAGCGTGTCAGCTCACCTCGTTCGGCATTTCACAACGAATGGAGGTCGGACTCGACCGTCCCGGGGGTACGGATATGATACGTGTTGGGTGCAGATCTAGCCAGAAGTGCAGCAGTGAAGCAAAAACAGCGCAAGAGAGACTGTGCAGTAACTGCAGAGACAAAATGGTGCATGTAAGAATCACAGCGTGAACAGAAAATATGCAAGCAGTAGGTGGTGCACTGGGATTGTTTCGGGCGGGAAGACGGTGTGCTATAGCATATTTACTGAAAAACGCAATCCTTTAAGGCGGAAACATCCATCGATGTGCTTGGGAGAAAATGTAAAATGATATTTAATAACTTGAAATATTCATAATTCAGCGTTTACAGTGTAGGTACTTAATTGGCAATCATGATCAAGCGCTGTCGAAATAAAAGAGCGGTCGCCAGAATCCAGATCCCACTCAGCTGCGTTCCGCCCGGACCGCTCGGTACCTGAGGTTGTAGATGCGTTGTTTGGCCTCCGCTGACAGCGAGATGACGCCGGGCTCCACCTCGTAGGCGTGCCGGTCGCGCTTCTCAGAGGAGAGGCCGAACAGCCAGCCTGAGAGCACGGGAATATAGTCACATTATAGCACGAACGACCGATACAATATTAACAGCCGATTCATACACATCGTCGCACAGTGAAAATGATAGTCGATGAATATAGTGAAACGGAAGTAGCCACAAACAGCACACCGGTAAACATTCAATACGACGACAGCCGCACAGTCTAATCAGCAGTTGGGTGGTTATCTGACCTGAGTAGGAAGTGACGAGCACCTCCTCGTACTCTGAGTTGCTGACATGACCTCCCTGGACCGACGTCACCGTCTCTGAACCCGCCTGGGAAACGAGCGGACAGCGTCAGTCTGAGGTTAAAGTTGACGCTTTGCACGTACCACCGACCGGCTCTCTGCCAGTTCAACCCCGTACTCATAACCTTATACGGGTGCCGTCTCCAAAAGACTTCCGATTCACTCCATTCCATACCGACCCCTACACAACACACTTCAGAGACGACCCAGACCCAGACACTCACATACGTATAGCGCAGCGTGGGCGCCGCCTCCTCGCCGTCGTCGTAGCTGAAGATCTGCACCGAGCCGTCGTCGCGGCCGACGATCAGGTCGCGCACCCCGTCACCCGTCATGTCAAAGTGGTCCATGCAGACGACACCGGCGCGGCTCGAGTCACGCGATGGTTCCACCGTCCACTTGTCGGTCGGCTCGTTCCTGGGGGCGGAGAACGGGAGAAGGATCGGTCAGTTGGAGAGGCGCTAGGCTGTGCTCGCCAATGAGAGTACTAGTCAGAGACGAATACCTCGCACAGTTTTATACAGAAGCGTCTGCCAGTAAAAAGCGGGAAAATTGCCGCTGGTTTCACGGTGGCCAGCAACAAACATAGCAGAGCGAAGAGGGTAGCTGTCCGCTCGAAATACCGTAATATCATCAAAGTGTACCGGTACCGGTAAACGATAGATGTGATAACCGATAACGTTCTATTATCATCAAAGAACGTCATAGCCTAGATTTCTAAGAATGCCGACGGTGATCGGAGCCCCGTCCACTGCTCCAGCGCACCGCTCACTTTCCTTTCCGCCCCGCCCACCTTCCGAGCGCCACGCAGCCGATGGCGGCGTCCGTGGTGCCGTAGAGCAGGTACTCGGCCGTCGAGCCGCCGTCGCCGTAGAACAGGTGCAGCGTGGACGGCGGCCCGGCCACGTCCACCTGGTAGCGCACGCCGCTGTACTTCATCACACGCAGGGACCGGTCCCGGCAGGCCAGCACCGGCACGAACGAGTTGATCTGCGGACGGAGGCCGGGAGGCAAAGGGGCGGGGTGGGTGAACGTTGGCACGATAACAGCTGCGGTGTGGAGGGTTTTCAGTGTTTCGGAGGAGCCAGATAAGATAAAATTTATCTAAATTCAGCTGTCTCACCCTCTCCGCAGGCAGGGATATGACGTCCGTGATCTCCTCTCCACTCAGGTAGTAGTTGGTGTCCTCACAGTCGTAGAAGTGGTTGTAGATGAAGCTGCTACACACCAGCAGGTTGCTCCCACTGACGTGGCTGAAGTCAGGCAAATCATATGACAGTTATCATTTACATCTGCACAATATCTTACATGACAACAATCCCTCATTTTATGCATAAGGATTGTCACACTCAACAGCTTGACTTAATGTCAATAGCAACTTACATTGAGTGGATGTCATCAGTGAGGTTTGTCTCCAGGCCAAGAAACTGCTTTCCCTTCCTGGTGTAGCCCATGACAGCATTGCCAGCTGAGACAAATATTTTGTCCTTCACTGTACCTGTGTGTCATGAAATATGTCATCATGCAGTGAAATAGTTGCATGGAAAACTAAACTGACATCTATCCAAAATTCATGGGAAAAGATTAATGATTGATGTGTAACTTCAACAAAACCTTCATTTTCTGATCTATCCATTTTAAGTTCAAATGCTCAGACAAAACGATTGAACAGCTGAAATAATAAGTGATAATTACAGCAATTATAGAATCTCAATACATCTGAAACAGCTTGCACTTATTGCATAAGTACCTGCAGGCAATAAGCTATACTTCAATTACACCCTTACCAAGAGCTCCTCCCAGCTCCATGTTTGTGATGGCTTTTCCAGGGAGTGTCTTAAATATAACTTGCAAATCATTCTTCTTGAATGAAAATAGCTGAACAACTCCATCTTTGTCTCCAACTGCAACCTGGAAAGAGAATATAATTGCTAGCATATTCAACACTTATCAAAATGAAGAATCATCATCAGCCACTTATCACTTCAGCAAATAACATGCATATAACATGAACTACAAACCTTATGGTCATTACAAAACAGATTGTAAGCACAGTTTAAATCTGACACCTGTCACTCGCTCACCCAATGCACTTTTCTGAACGACTGAGCCAAGTGTCAGACATCATTGGCACACCAATGCACTTCTCTGAATGACTGAGCCGAGTGTCAGACATCATTGGCACACATTCTGACTAGGCGCACACACCTCAGGCTCATAAATACTAATGTTAAATAGTCTGTGACATAGCTTACTTTTTGAAGCTTGTTTCCTTGAGTTGGGGGCAGGAGCTTGGTAGTCCTTGGTAGGGTTGTCGCAATTTGTGTGTAGTCGATGCGGTTCAGGCTGATGTCCATGCTGATGCTGATAATATCAATATATTTGTGTTATAAAGAAGATAACACAACACAACCATCGATGCTCAAATAGCTATCGCAGTAAATGATCCTTGCTGCACCCTATCTGTAAGAATCTTGGCTGCACCATAGCTTTGAGCAGGCTGCGAACAAAATTAAATATTCGAAAACATGTTATTATCTTTATTTTTTTAACTCAAACTCACTCCAAGATGATAATGTGTGACGGAAAAGATTATAGCCTTCTGCTCGACTTGTATTCAAATATCGCTGACATGAGACAAAAACATGCGCACTGCGATAACATTCCTTACAAATGACGTAGCGCTCTATATTTGAAATGAGTTTGTCTGGTTCTGAAAATGTTTTTGTTTCAAAAATAAAATAATTATACAAAAAATATTCATAACGTAAATTAATAATGACCTTGATATCTTAAATTGGCTTTTTTGGCTGCATGGCAGCATATAATAGAACAAAGAGGTGGTCAAATTAGGTACTTACCTGCCTGCCTGTACGAGTATTTTCTCATGAAGTACTTAGATCTTCCGGTACTTTCCATCTCTACTTTTTCTCTGCCTTCGTTTTCTGTCGGCTCTCGGTCCCGTTTCTCACAGGCCGGAGATTCAAGATGCTCTCCAGACTGGCGCCGAGAGTGGGTAAGTTTGAACTTTTTAATCTTCATTTGAACTGGAAATGGAAGTTTGCATTTATTGACGTGAAAAGAACTGTGTCTTTGGCTCCAGACTTGGTTCGCTGTATTGTATCTTGTGCGTCGTTTTGACTACTTTTTGCTTTGGGTATATTGTAACTGGTTATTTTTATTTCTCTTACCTGCTTTTTTGCCTTGAATGCTCAAATAAATCCATCATTCAAAATCTTATTTGTGATTTCAAAATGAGACCATATTTGTGTCTGTTTTATGTAACGGAAGTTAGCAGGGATTCAGCAGGGGTTCAGCAGGGATTCAGCAGGGATCGACGGCCCCTACGATTTCGCTGAATTTTGGTGGAGAGGTGCAGAATGGTGTCCTCTATCGAAAATCCTAGTGCCAAAATGCGGGGAATCCATCAGGGGGGCCACAAATCCCAAAAAACAATATGCCCTCAGGGCACAATCGACGAACTTTGAAAACCCTACTTCTAGCCGTCAAAACAGCTAAAAATGCACGTCATTCGAAAGAGGACAAAATTTTACGTGCAACGGTACCAAATTTAGGGGGCTAGCGCCCCCCTGAACCGAACAAAACAGCTTCAAATATATGGGCCCGGGAGTATGCCCTCGGGGCATAAATAAACGTTTTCAACAATTTCAGGCCTATAACATCGACAAAATCCAGCAATATGCACATCATTGGAAAGAGCGTAATTTCCCAAACAAAAAACCCAAGTAACATTTTTCGATGGGGCCCACCTGGGGCCCACGGGACCCAATTGAAATTTGGGGCCCAATGGGGCGGCCCCTACGATTTTCTTCAAAATTTGCACAGACACTCTCCTGGGCCCCCTCTTCAATCTGGCTGAAGAAACCTACCGGGGAATCCAAAGGAAGGGGCCCAAAGAGGGCCCCAAAGAGGCCCTTTCTAAGTATTGCCCCTAATTTCGCGACCAACCCCGGCAATATGCACATCAATGGAAAGAGCGTAATTTCCCAAACAAAAAACCCAAGTAACATTTTTCGATGGGGCCCACCTGGGGCCCACGGGACCCAATTGAAATTTGGGGCCCAATGGGGCGGCCCCTACGATTTTCTTCAAAATTTGCACAGACACTCTCCTGGGCCCCCTCTTCAATCTGGCTGAAGAAACCTACCGGGGAATCCAAAGGAAGGGGCCCAAAGAGGGCCCCAAAGAGGCCCTTTCTAAGTATTGCCCCTAATTTCGCGACCAACCCCGGCAATATGCACATCATTGGAAAGAGCGTAATTTCCCAAACAAAAAACCCAAGTAACATTTTTCGATGGGGCCCACCTGGGGCCCACGGGACCCAATTGAAATTTGGGGCCCAATGGGGCGGCCCCTACGATTTTCTTCAAAATTTGCACAGACACTCTCCTGGGCCCCCTCTTCAATCTGGCTGAAGAAACCTACCGGGGAATCCAAAGGAAGGGGCCCAAAGAGGGCCCCAAAGAGGCCCTTTCTAAGTATTGCCCCTAATTTCGCGACCAACCCCGGCAATATGCACATCATTGGAAAGAGCGTAATTTCCCAAACAAAAAACCCAAGTAACATTTTTCGATGGGGCCCACCTGGGGCCCACGGGACCCAATTGAAATTTGGGGCCCAATGGGGCGGCCCCTACGATTTTCTTCAAAATTTGCACAGACACTCTCCTGGGCCCCCTCTTCAATCTGGCTGAAGAAACCTACCGGGGAATCCAAAGGAAGGGGCCCAAAGAGGGCCCCAAAGAGGCCCTTTCTAAGTATTGCCCCTAATTTCGCGACCAACCCCGGCAATATGCACATCATTGGAAAGAGCGTAATTTCCCAAACAAAAAACCCAAGTAACATTTTTCGATGGGGCCCACCTGGGGCCCACGGGACCCAATTAAAATTTGGGGCCCAATGGGGCGGCCCCTACGATTTTCTTCAAAATTTGCACAGACACTCTCCTGGGCCCCCTCTTCAATCTGGCTGAAGAAACCTACCGGGGAATCCAAAGGAAGGGGCCCAAAGAGGGCCCCAAAGAGGCCCTTTCTAAGTATTGCCCCTAATTTCGCGACCAACCCCGGCAATATGCACATCATTGGAAAGAGCGTAATTTCCCAAACAAAAAACCCAAGTAACATTTTTCGATGGGGCCCACCTGGGGCCCACGGGACCCAATTGAAATTTGGGGCCCAATGGGGCGGCCCCTACGATTTTCTTCAAAATTTGCACAGACACTCCTGGGCCCCCTCTTCAATCTGGCTGAAGAAACCTACCGGGGAATCCAAAGGAAGGGGCCCAAAGAGGGCCCCAAAGAGGCCCTTTCTAAGTATTGCCCCTAATTTCGCGACGAACCCCGGCAATATGCACATCATTGGAAAGAGCGTAATTTCCCAAACAAAAAACCCAAGTAACATTTTTCGATGGGGCCCACCTGGGGCCCACGGGACCCAATTGAAATTTGGGGCCCAATGGGGCGGCCCCTACGATTTTCTTCAAAATTTGCACAGACACTCTCCTGGGCCCCCTCTTCAATCTGGCTGAAGAAACCTACCGGGGAATCCAAAGGAAGGGGCCCAAAGAGGGCCCCAAAGAGGCCCTTTCTAAGTATTGCCCCTAATTTCGCGACCAACCCCGGCAATATGCACATCATTGGAAAGAGCGTAATTTCCCAAACAAAAAACCCAAGTAACATTTTTCGATGGGGCCACCCTGGGGCCCACGGGACCCAATTGAAATTTGGGGCCCAATGGGGCGGCCCCTACGATTTTCTTCAAAATTTGCAGACACTCTCCTGGGCCCCCTCTTCAATCTGGCTGAAGAAACCTACCGGGGAATCCAAAGAAAGGGGCCCAAAGAGGGCCCCAAAGAGGCCCTTTCTAAGTATTGCCCCTTATTTCGCGACCAACCCCGGCAATATGCACATCATTGGAAAGAGCGTAATTTCCCAAACAAAAAAAACAAGTAACATTTTTCGATGGGGCCCACCTGGGGCCCACGGGACCCAATTGAAATTTGGGGCCCAATGGGGCGGCCCCTACGATTTTCTTCAAAATTTGCACAGACACTCTCCTGGGCCCTCTCTTCAATCTGGCTGAAGAAACCTACCGGGGAATCCAAAGGAAGGGGCCCAAAGAGGGCCCCAAAGAGGCCCTTTCTAAATATTTCCCCTAATTTCGCGACCAACCCCGGCAATATGCACATCATTGGAAAGAGCGTAATTTCCCAAACAAAAAACCCAAGTAACATTTTTCGATGGGGCCCACCTGGGGCCCACGGGACCCAATTGAAATTTGGGGCCCAATGGGGCGGCCCCTACGATTTTCTTCAAAATTTGCACAGACACTCTCCTGGGCCCCCTCTTCAATCTGGCTGAAGAAACCTACCGGGGAATCCAAAGGAAGGGGCCCAAAGAGGGCCCCAAAGAGGCCCTTTCTAAGTATTGCCCCTAATTTCGCGACCAACCCCGGCAATATGCACATCATTGGAAAGAGCGTAATTTCCCAAACAAAAAACCCAATTAACATTTTTCGATGGGGCCCACCTGGGGCCCACGGGACCCAATTGAAATTTGGGGCCCAATGGGGCGGCCCCTACGATTTTCTTCAAAATTTGCACAGACACTCTCCTGGGCCCCCTCTTCAATCTGGCTGAAGAAACCTACCGGGGAATCCAAAGGAAGGGGCCCAAAGAGGGCCCCAAAGAGGCCCTTTCTAAGTATTGCCCCTAATTTCGCGACCAACCCCGGCAATATGCACATCATTGGAAAGAGCGTAATTTCCCAAACAAAAAACCCATGTAACATTTTTCGATGGGGCCCACCTGGGGCCCACGGGACCCAATTGAAATTTGGGGCCCAATGGGGCGGCCCCTACGATTTTCTTCAAAATTTGCACAGACACTCTTCTGGGCCCCCTCTTCAATCTGGCTGAAGAAACCTACCGGGGAATCCAAAGGAAGGGGCCCAAAGAGGGCCCCAAAGAGGCCCTTTCTAAGTATTGCCCCTAATTTCGCGACCAACCCCGGCAATATGCACATCATTGGAAAGAGCGTAATTTCCCAAACAAAAAACCCAAGTAACATTTTTCGATGGGGCCCACCTGGGGCCCACGGGACCCAATTGAAATTTGGGGCCCAATGGGGCGGCCCCTACGATTTTCTTCAAAGTTTGCACAGACACTCTCCTGGGCCCCCTCTTCAATCTGGCTGAAGAAACCTACCGGGGAATCCAAAGGAAGGGGCCCAAAGAGGGCCCCAAAGAGGCCCTTTCTAAGTATTGCCCCTAATTTCGCGACCAACCCCGGCAATATGCACATCATTGGAAAGAGCGTAATTTCCCAAACAAAAAACCCAAGTAACATTTTTCGATGGGGCCCACCTGGGGCCCACGGGACCCAATTGAAATTTGGGGCCCAATGGGGCGGCCCCTACGATTTTCTTCAAAATTTGCACAGACACTCTCCTGGGCCCCCTCTTCAATCTGGCTGAAGAAACCTACCGGGGAATCCAAAGGAAGGGGCCCAAAGAGGGCCCCAAAGAGGCCCTTTCTAAGTATTGCCCCTTATTTCGCGACCAACCCCGGCAATATGCACATCATTGGAAAGAGCGTAATTTCCCAAACAAAAAACCCAAGTAACATTTTTCGATGGGGCCCAAGTGGGGCCCACGGGACCCAATTGAAATTTGGGGCCCAATGGGGCGGCCCCTACGATTTTCTTCAAAATTTGCACAGACACTCTCCTGGGCCCCCTCTTCAATCTGGCTGAAGAAACCTACCGGGGAATCCAAAGGAAGGGGCCCAAAGAGGGCCCCAAAGAGGCCCTTTCTAAGTATTGCCCCTAATTTCGCGACCAACCCCGGCAATATGCACATCATTGGAAAGAGCGCCAATGATGTGCATATTGCCGGGGTTGGTCGCGAAATTAGGGGCAATACTTAGAAAGGGCCTCTTTGGGCCCTCTTTGGGCCCCTTCCTTTGAATTCCCCGGTAGGTTTCTTCAGCCAGATTGAAGAG